TAGTAAGGCCAGGAGCCCCTAGTAGCGTCCTTGCTCCTAGTAGCGATTACCTTTGTTACTAATAGCTTCTTGTTCCTAGTAGTATGGCCAGGAGCCCCTAGTAGCGTCCTTGCTCCTAGTAGCGATGACCTTTGTTACTGGTAGCGAACATTGCTGATGAAACTCACAACTGCCGGGCAGCCGTTGAGGTGGTCACTGTTTCTGTGGTACTGGTCGAGGTGGTGCTGGTGGACTGGCGGGCAATCTACACTTGTGATCACTCATGAGTTAGCGAATCGCCAAAGAAATCACAGTAACTGTAGCAACTGTAACAACACAGCTGTCTACTGTAATTGTATAAGGCTGCGAATTGGTTTTCCCAATCTCAGCAAGAGAAGGGCACCGTCGACGATGTTGTCGTGGAGGAGGTCGAGGTTGAGGACGTTGTGGAAGAGGATGTAGATGTTGCTGTTGTAGAGCTGCTAGTACTGGATGTGGTGCTTGTGCTTGAGGTGCTAGAAGTTGACACCTGAAGGCATACACAGTACATGTTCACACTCACTCTTTCTGAGCCCTACAGCTGCTCTTCATCATCCCGTTCATGCCAACTCGTCAGAAGCAAGAAACTGTGCTTGTCGTGGCAGTAAGTGTTGTTGAAGAAGTGGAGGTGGTGGAAGAAGATGAAGATGTGGTTGATGAAGATGTGGTTGATGAAGATGTGGTTGATGAAGATGTGGTTGATGAAGATGTTGAAGATGAAGAGGTAGCAGTGATGGATGTAGACGTTGTCGACGAGCTTGAACTTGATGAGCTTGACGAAGAGGAGGAGGAAGAGGATGAAGAGGACATGGATCTCAGAGTTCATGTTTACTTGGCACAGTCGTCACCCCCAGTGCATATAACTTCTTCAAATGTTTACCCTCTGATAAGAGAGTTGTGAAACTGCAAACCTTGGAGCTAAATCTAAACGTGTCTTCACGAGCAGCGTGTATTCTCCCAAACAAAGCTACATAAGTGTCCATTTGCTCATGTGCTATTTCCAGCTGAACCAATGCTACCATGCTTCGACGAACTTGTACTGGATGAGCTTGTGCTTGAAGAAGTGGTCGACCTAGTTCCATGTCAAGACAAACAGAATACAAAGAAACACAATCTTTTGGCCTTTGGCAATCCCCTAATAGCAATAGCCTCCAACCTACTAGCGATCAACCTACTAGTGATGGCCTCCAACCTACTAGCGATGGCCTCGAACCTTTAACCTGACCACGTTAACTTGCGCAAAGTCCTGGCAACTGAGCGTAGAGGGCCACAAACCCTCGATAAACCCCAAATGCTTCTCAAGGCCTTCTGGCTTCGTTGCTACTGAGTAACTGGTTACGATGATAGTCATGCAGCAGGTTCGTACGTGCAAGAGTCTTTGTAGGCATCACTCAACCAAGACTTCGGGAAACCGAGTTTGCGACGAGCTAGATGTGGAGGAACTTGTCGAAGTGGAGGAGCTGGAAGTGGAAGTGCTGCTGGTAGAAGTGGAAGTTGAAGTAAAGGAGCTTGTGGTCACGGTGATGGTGGTGGCAGTGGAAGAGCTTGTTGTGAAAGTAGTCAGACTGGAGGAGCTAGAGGAAGTCGTAGTAGAACTTGTGGTTGTGCTGGAGGAACTTGTACTCGTGGAACTTGTACTCGTGGAACTTGTACTTGTGGAACTTGTACTTGTGGAACTTGTACTTGTTGAACTTGTACTTGTGGAACTTGTACTGGAGGAACTTGTGGTGGAGGAGCTTGTTGAAGTGCTTGTCGTCACCTCACAAACGCCCAGGCGCGTTTCATCACCATAGTCTTCACATATACATTTAATGTAACCCCTATTCCCCCCCGCTCTCTGCGGCTTGGCCACGCTTGAAGTGGTCGCTGCAAGTCGTCGTACCTTGTCGTCAGATTCAGCTCAAGTCCCCTAAATCAAGACCAGCTGCAGGAAGAAAAGCTTGAAAGTACACAAATAAGCTTTACGGTTGATACAGTACTTCGATGAAACATATGATTTAAATTGCAGCTCTGCCTCGGCCTCTTCTTCCATGTCATAGGAAAGCCGCCGTGATCCCGTATCCTGGGAGCACAACAAAGGGAGGGTATGAGCATGTTCTTTGCAGCAGCATGTGCTTTATGACCTGACACACTCAATTGAGTCCGACACCAAAATTCTATCTCCACAAAACTAGGTGTTTCTGCACAAAGAAACGGATCCCGCCTCGTCTGTCATATTCGGAAGTTCCGTCCAATAAAGCACATAGTGTGTGAGTAAGGTCTCATCAGTGCGGGCAAAAGTGATGTAGCCTCCCGCTCTGATATGGTAAAGGGAGGATCAAAGGTTTGACAGACCATCAGAGGATCATTCTGTCCATAGACTGCAAAACAGTACAAAAAGCTGATCTGCCTCCCAGCTCATCAACATCGAGATCCTGAAATCACATCAACTCTTGGGAACTCCAAAGCAACATCCCAGATTCACTGCAGTCCTGATCTAAGAACTCCATGGTGTCCACCTCAAGTGAAATTGACCAACAGTTCGGTAGATAAGAAAAGAAAAAACAATGATAAAATACCATGAGACCATGACTGAATTGCATTCTAATTCCAACGAAACGTAGGCTCGGACTGTGAGATAAGTGTCCGAGATCGTCTGCACAAATGGAGTGGTCATCTCAAAGAGGGGAGAGCGGACATAGAGCAGCACATGAGTCCAGTTCTGGCATCGGCTCGTTTCATCTCGTTTTCATTCACCGAAGTCCGCCGGACTCGATACTAGTAGCTTCTTGCTACTGGTAGCGATGCCAGGAGCCCCTAGTAGCGTCCTTGCTCCTAGGGCCAGGAGCCCCTAGTAGCTTCTTGCTACGTCTTCAAACAGAATTAGAAACCGGCACTTCTAACACCCAACTTGAATCTGCGACAGAGGTGAGGTGCATGCAACCCCTTTTCTGAGCCTCAACGGGAGTGTCAACCCACACGTCCACCCGATTGATGCCCACTGGCACCTTGGAAAACATGTGCGTGGCATGCACAAATCACCTGTACATGATGTCATGAGCCACGGCCAGCCTCTGCACCCATCTGTGAGCGTCCTTCGCCGGTAGCTGACTGGGCCAAGTAAAGCACATAGTACTCAGTGCCTTGGCAAGATTGTTTCATCTGCAAACTTGTGTTTTACTTCAATCAGTACAAGTCGGGAAATCTACAATCAAGCCGAAGATCGGTAGATGTACGGCGGTGGATTGAAGAAAGATGGTCCGCCTGAGTACAAGCAACTCTAGGAACGCAAAAAATGTTACATGTTGAATGAAAACAAATTGATGTGTGTGTGTGTTTTTTTTTCAAACGGCTAAGCTCGGAACCTATCTCACCAAGGTCGAAGTCTCGGTCGGTCCAATAAAAGTCTGTGATGTTTGCCTCGGTGGCTTTGACCAAAATGACAAAAGCAAAGCTTTTTCTTATCCGACAACCATTTTGATTTTTTTTTTGTCAAGTCAACCTTATCCGGCAGAAATTAGGGAAGCGGCAAAGGCGTCGTAGAACTCATGCGTCACCGGAGTACTCTGCTCCCCGAGCGAGGAGTACGAGTGAATGTTGATGTACCTAGCAAGCCAGTAAGGCCCCTTTCTGATGACTTTCCTTTCCGAAGGTATCACATTATAGAATTGTAGCATCGCCCTGCCTGTTGGCTGCAACAACCGTGTTCTCAGGCACAATGAACTGGGTTTTGGAAACCTCAGCAATATCTTCCCTGACTCAGTACAACCACACAAAGCCTGTCCGAGCTTATCAAAGGTACCAGTATTTAAACCAAAAATACTTCACAGGAACCCAAAGAAGTCTGAAACTATGCCTCAATTGGCATCTTTCAGTCTCCGGCGGATACGCTGTCGATCTGCGTGCGTACAGCGCTGGAAGTGTCCTCCTCAGCCAAATTACGTGATTTTGCAAAGCGGGGAGGCGGGGAGTTCCTCAAGCGTGTTCTGATGTTCTCTGTTTCTCATGCGCTGCATGAAATGAGAGATGGATCAGCCAGTCAAGCATTGTTAGATAAAAGACTGTCAAGACACGGCCACATAGATCCGGTATCCAACCACTCGTCCAAGTATGCTTGGAAGCTGCCAAACCAGCTCTCCGCCAAGATCTCCATCATCCAGGTCCTGAGCATCAAACGTGCTGCAGGCACCCACGCGAAGGACTCTTGAAGATCTCGCGAAAGAAAGCCGCTAGCTAGTGCATTATTTCTTGTAATTGTTCTCCTTCTAAATGACAGCAAGCACAACTGCTGCTACCAAGCCGCATCGTCGGTGAGATTCACCTCCTTCACCGAGGCATTGTCTGCTGCTCCGGCAAAAGACAGGAAGCTGGGAGTGGTGGCTTCAGCCAATGCCTGGGCATCATGCAGCAGCATGCAGGGCATTGGCTGGTTTTGGCATGTGAGAAAACGTTAAAAAAACAGAAAAACAAAACATCACAAGGTCAGCAGGAGAGTTTAGAAATCAAACTCTTCACACTGAGGTCCCAACAGACCGAGAAAATACGACAAAATGCGAGAAGGTGTCCCGCAAAGTACCAACTGGCACTTCAAAGGTGTTGGTGCCTTACATGGAAGCCCACTTTGCAATCGGACAGTTCAAAGCGATTGAGTTGCCGTTGCTCTTTCTGCGTACGTTGCAGATTCCAAGGTACCATAAGGCACCTCTCCAAGCTCAATGTAGGACAAGGCTCCAGATGCCTCCAACTCGGTGAGATTGTAGCCTAAGAGGACTCAGGCTTTGCATTCAACTGCATTGCTATCCCTTGGAATCATAATGAAATGATTTGAAATGCTTCAACATTGCTCGTTAAGCTGCTCAGCCTGATCAGCCGACACTTTGCCAAGCAGCCGCTGAGGCTACCCGTCCAATTCACCAGTTGCTTGTTCAAGCCAGCAGCGTCGTCTGCCAAATACACGGCATACCTAAGCCAAGAATCAGTCGTTGGTTCTGGCCCCCTGGACACATCTTCTGAGTCCCCAAATGTTGGGTGTGGCCAAGGTACGTGATAACTTCGTCCGAAACATTCTCAGGAGGTGTCCATTCCAAAGTGCCACTTAGGTCCACAATGTCCAAGTCCTACAACATGGATCAACATGGATCATGAATCATCATGAATCATGATCATTGAGTCAAAAAAGATAGTATATAGGTTGGAGGCCATCTCTAGTAGGTTAGAGAGAGAGAGAGAGCCATGGCAGAAAATCACAGCTGTCAGTACTTGACAAACGGCGCAGTGCAGTGCATTCACTGCAATACTTCACCACTCCCAAGAAAATACCATGTGTGGTGTCCTCTCCAACCCAAACAACATTTGTGACAGGCATATCCGCATCCGCTATCTTGATGTATGCTGGCGTGGTCTGCTCTGCCCATGTGGACTGTGCGTAGACCAGCACATAGTCCTCGGATCGCGCAGCTGTAGGCTGGAGTACTGAGTACATCCCAAACCATTTATATACTGCACGGGGCCGCACATGGCATCTGCTAAATGTCTCACAGCCAACGGAACAATCGGGCCGTAGTGCTCCTCCCCTTTTGCGATTGTGACAAGCTGCATAAATATAGTCAGTGTTGTTCTCGGAATATCCTTGAATCATTTCTCTATTAAGCTGAATCCAGTAAATCATACCAGCTGTCTCGGAACTCACTATACTGAGCATCCGACCTGGGTGCAAGCGGGTCGTGTCTGCTGGCACATGCACCTCTGTAGTTGTGCCCTGCTCAACGGTAGTGAAATGAAATCCTTGGTCAATCACCAATTTGAATCTCATCACAAATGACACAATGAATCACCAAGTGCGAAATCAATGAAGCAAAACGGAACGAATGGCTTGCTGATTGGGGTGTGCCGCCGAGATGCGATTGGCGCCAGCATTGTCCAGCGAAAAATACACCTCGATCAACTGGTTCTGGCAAACCAAAGCTTCTTGTTCCTAGTAGCTTCTTGCTACTAGTACTACTAGTAGCGATGCCAGGAGTCCCTAGTAGCGTCCTTGCTCCTAGTAGTAAGGTCAGGAGCCCCTAGTAGCTTCTTGCTCCTACTCTCGATGACAACAAACTAGAATCAAGATTGAAATCCTTTGGGTGTCTCCGGTGAAGCGTGTCTTACGCCCCAATTGAATCAAAGGCAAGGCTAGTATTATTATGTGCTGCATTGAATCAAAGGCAAGGCTAGTATTATTATGTGCAGCACGTCAAAACCATGCAATGTTTGACGTTCAGCAACTTTTTGCATCAGATCCTGTTGCCAAACGAACTACAGTATTGAATGCAAGGCACCAGGTAATGTGAAATCAGGCTGGTATCCAGCGATGGCTGCTGCCAGCTGATGTTCCCTCCTAGTTCGTTCACGTCCAGGTCGTAGTCAGTGAACAGGACCTGCAACAGCATGAAAAGCTGTAAATCCAGCAGGCCACAAATAGTTTCTCACTCGAGCCGCTAAAGGCTCGCTAGCTCCACATCTTCTTTCTGATTCTAGTAGCGATGTGTTACTATAGTCATGCCACGAGCTACTAATGGCTTCTTGCTCCTAGTAGCAAGGTCCTTTGTTCCTAGTAGCTTCTTGCTACTGTAGTAATGCCAGGAGCTACTAGTAGCGTCGCAGGACCTACTAGTAGCGTTCTTGCTCCTAGTAGCGATGCCCTTTGTTACTAGTAGCGATTTACATCCTATATCATCCTATATCTAGGTACTGTTCTCCTGGAACAAAAAATTTGTTCATTAGCAGTGCTTCTGTTCTCTTGTCTCACCGAGGTCGTAGTTTGGACTTAAACTGAAAACCAGTGTGAGGACGATTAGAAGGAAACATTGGAAAAAATGCCATTGTTGTTCAAAACATTGTCGATTTGAGATGGCGCATTCTGCTCGCACCTGCTGGGCTTGGATACCAGTGTCTGAGATGGCCAAAGCCGCAGGCGTTGTCTCTTCAACCAAGCTGGTTTGCTGCAGGGCGGGCCGGCTGGCAAATCAAGATACGCAACACTAGTCAGCCAATTCATGTTTCAATGCCTCAAGCATCCTCAAGTCAATGACAGCTTCGAAACTGAAGAAGTGCGAAGGGGCAAAAGGGCACTGCCAACGGCGCTGCCTGGTACACCACGAAGTGAGTCGCTGTGGCTCCAGCACTATCGACCGCCTCCAAAAGCGCAACTCGTTCAGGGATTCTAGGGATCAATTGGGATCATTCACTCGAAAATTCATGAGAACATATGAGAACCCCTTTGTCTCATTGTAAATTTCTGCTGTTTTCAAGAACCCTCAATATAATTCCATTACTCTCGTGCAAATCGATGCAAATTGTGTGAAGCCTTGATTCAACAAAATTGAGGACATGCGTGTGCCTATGGGATCCCCTCACTCTGTTCCGACCAAAGCAACAGTCTCGCAGCGCACCGCTGTATCTGCTGGCACGTCAAAGGTGGTCGTGAAGCGGGCCTCACCTGGCGATTTGCAAGAGCCAAGGCTAAATCGATCAATCATTAGATGTTCATAGTCAGCAGCTAAGCTTCTCTGCCATTCTGAGGTTTTTCAGTCAACTCCAAACACTTTCGCTCTCCGTCTCTGTTGCTGCAACACCCGAGAGCATGAGCTTCCTAGCGTCCTAGCCTGTCGCGTTCGTGAGCCTATTTCGATTGGTTCCAGCTGCGTCTGAGGCCAAATAGACGTGGTAGCTTTCCTTGGTCAAGCAAGAGTTGAATCTTCAATTGGAAGCTCTTAGAGCAGAAGAACTTCTTGTGCCAAGCTGCGACTTTGTACCTGTAGGAGTGTTCCGTCCAGCTCAATACACCACCAAGCTGGCAGGTCAGGTTGAAGCTTTTAGGCAAGCTTTAGGGCAAGTTGGAGGCCATCGCTGTTAGGTTGGAGACCATCGCTTCTAGGTTGGCAACAACTCTCCGGCCTCATCTTGATCCAAGTCCAAATCGGTGAAGGCAAGGTTGCGAACGTCGAATGCTTAGTGCACTTGCGGCTGCGTTCCACAAAAATTGCTAGAAGAGCTGCTGGAATGCTCTTTGATGTGAAGTTCTATCGCTTCGTGTGAAAATGAGTGACAACAAGTTAAGTTTCCCTAAAAATCTAGGAACCAAATCATCAGTGCAAGCGCTATCCTGCGTCCAGCTACTAGAAGCAGACTAGCTACACCTCTTCTCCTCTCTATCCGCCGCCCAACCCCCCCGGCTTTTAAAAGGGGTCAAAGTAAATCAATGCGTGCCCACTCTGTGGCACCCTGACAATCATCTGGGATGTAGCGGGTGGCAGGCCAAGTTTGCTCTTGCAGTGCCTCAGCCAATACAAACGGTTAAACAGGCATAATTGTAATCTCCAGAATGGTGAATTTGACCTCATCTGTGCTTCTGGGTCCATCACAGTAGCAGCATATAGCAATAAGTAGTCACTGGGAGCTATCGATGTCTCCGCTGGCAATTCCACCTGAGGCTGAAACTGGAGAAGGTCAGTCTGTTCCAGTTGCATGCTTCCCACAATACCAAAATCAATCGCAACGGTAGAAAACGACTGGAAGTTTCTAAACAGAGCGATTCTCTCACGCTGACTTCCCTCACTGCAGCTTGTATCACTACAGTAGGTCGCCAGCAAAGTTCCACCACATGGTGGTGCCTTTCAGCTGGTCCTGACACATCGCATGAAATTTACAAGTCACTAGCAATCTGATGATACAAGCAATAGGACCAGAAAGGACTACCACAAGAAACCAATCTCCTTTGTTGGTGTCCAAAGCTCCCAGCCACCCCAGTCATCAGTACCATAACCTGTTATATAATCGGCATCATCATGTTCGATCATTGTTTGTTCTCAAATGCAATCTTTTCCCAGTGACGTGGCTACTCAGTAGTTTCTATGTGTCCATTCCGGCATCATCACTGAAAAACGATCTCAAGTCCCCTGCTGCGGACGAGTTCTCAGAAGTCTTTGTTAACTTCGTCCGTGGAGAGTTGCCGCCAAAAAACTGTGCGTAAGCCGGCCAAAGTAGAGATTGTAGTGGGTGACAAGAGCTTCTGGTACAGATACGTCCTTTGCTGCAACAGAAAGGGTTTACCCGTACCAATCCAATCCGAAAGCCTCTGCTTGAGACTAGTCAAATGGGCAGTGTTTGGCTTTTGTCGATCACACGCCACACGCCTAAAGCAGGAAAGGCCTTCAGGAACCGCAATATGTTCAATGTTGATGATCATAACGATTGTATATGTAAAGCTTGTTGCTGTCAAGCTTCCCACACAACGGTTCCACCAATCTCGCCAAGGTCCAAGTCGAGATCATCGATGTTCAAATTGCTCACCTTGTGCCAAAGCGAGCCAATACTGTAATTGGCATGAACGGTGCATAGCATATGTCTGGTCAAGAAAGCAAGTTGTTCTTCCGCATGAATTCGCCCAAGCCTTTGTTTCCGCATTTCTCTTCTACACACTCACGACCTTGATGACAGTGCCTGAAAGTTGGTGTCGCTAACATTCTTCCATGTAGGCGTCGTCTGTTCTTCCAGGCTTGAAACCGTGTGCACCAAAACCTCAATCGGAAATCACTCTGCACAAATGCAAAAAATTGAAATGTCGCAAATGTAGACTCCCTGATTATGTTTCATCACAGAAAGCTAAGCAACGGTTGTCGGCTGTGTTGGTTGTAGAATGCAGGGTCGCACACCCGCAGTGTAGTCACCTTAAAGCGATGCCGTGCCAAGCGCCTACATCCAAAAAATGCGATCAATACATACATAGAGTTTCATTGCGTGACATTGCTTCTATTTTCGGAATCCCCAACTTGATTCTGCTGATTCCTGAAAAAGATTCTGAGTGTCTCTACGTATGCAAGACTTATGTTCGGGGAGCATCATTGTAATTAGAAAAGTAAGGCAATTGTTTGATCAGGTTTCCCACATTGTGTACCCAAATCGAAGGGCTGGTAAAGGTGTGCCTCCACATGAAACAATGCTACGGCCACTTTGGTTACGGGCCCAATCTTCAGACCAACAGATTAATGCAAATGCCTGGTCGATTACCTGTCAACAACCCTCGTTCTACTTCTACTGTGTCTTTACATGTGACGATGCACGAGTGCGCATGTGATTATGGCAAGCTTTTCGGGCTGAACTCCCAAAGCCAATTTCCCACGAGGAGCAATATGGTAGCGCTGTATCGGCGGCCACGCTTGCCTCCGATGTACCAACTGACACCTCTGCAGCTGCAGATATCCTGCCAATCAGCAAAGGTGGGCACACTCACTGGATCTCCATGAAACTACACAAACGAGCTTAGGAGCCCAAGCTATGCAAACTTTTTGATGCACTGGTCGGATGTACAGAAGCGCCTGTCAAGACCCCGCTGATTCATTGCAATGAAAACCCTGTAGGCTGAGACCACATCCTGAGCAATGACAGACTGCATGGTGCAAAAAGCAAAGGGACGGACTAATTTAGTAAATGTCATTTCATGACTAATTTAGTTTGTCTCCAAATCACATGTCCCTTTGCCGGTAGGGACAGCCAAGCGCTATGCCAAGCTTCCAGAAAGTGCTCCGGCTCATCCCAGGTGACCGTTCCTCTCTGCATGATGCTACTGACAAGCTACCTTAAACCTAAAGCAATGGCCTCCAACCTACTAGCGATGGCCTCCAACCTAAATGCAATCATGCTGACAAGCTAATCATGCTAATCTTGCGCTCTTGCCTCCGACTTCGTTTACATCCAGGTCTTCATCGGGGAAGCTAATGTTGGACACGCTTGCATTCGCGTCTGCGATCTCAAAGGCTGTTGGGGTCCTGACTCTGCCCACTGGCGGAAGCACCAGCGAATCGCTTGCCATTAAAATGATGCACAATGACATGAAGGAACTACCGTACAGTGTCACAAAACCTTACCACAGAGTCGAATCGGTCCTCATCTCCACAGAGGCAGAGTGCGAGTAAACAAGAAGATAAGTCATTTTGGCCTCGCCGTTTAGGATTTGTCACATGTCATGTTTAAAAGCCCCAGGGCAAAGCATCAAAGCCTCAAAGTAGCGGACTCACGTGCCTGTGGAAAGATGTGTGGACCCAAGTCCACCCAGTCGGTGGAGTTTCCTCGAAAGCTTTCAACCAACGATTTCCCAGAGCAATTCTACTCATGCACAATGCTGCAGGTCATTTTCCAATTAAATTCAAATCTTCTAGGAAAGAAAAGAAAGAAAAAGGACGGACAGAACGAAAGGAAGGAAGGTCTGAAGAAAGGGAGAAAAGGTCAAATCAAGTCTCCTGTTTGAGTGGTTGTTCGAGTGCTCGTTGTACCTATCACTTCAGTGTCCTGGCTGGGTTCGGCGACGGATCTCACAATGCAAGTACGTCCTTTCTTCTTTATCTTTCTTTCTTCTTTCCCTTTTCCTATCCTCTTTTCATTTTTGTAAGACTTTATCACTACATCTTGAGACCTTTCCTTTTCTGTCGTGACATTGCTATCAAGTCTCATTAAACCCCAAGAAGAAGCCCGCAGCAAAAGAGTATGATGCTGTGGATGGAGATAGCTCGCTCAAAAAGAAGCGGTCGTCTCCAGTAGCCTCACTCTCTGCAGGCTTTGACCACGGCCATCTGACGGTGACGCGAAACCAAACTATTTGGTGATTTTCCCAAGCGAATTTGTGCCTGGAAAACAAAACTGCATAACTTACATCATCAACAGCCGTTTCAATCTGGGCTCTTTGCGAGGGCCAAAACTAGAGTTCAATTAGTTGATCCATGTGGAAAGCTGTGGTGCCGTTTCTAAAAGCAATCACAATGTTCCTCTCCTGTATGTTATTGTTCTGGGGGTTCAATAGATTCATAGGTTGCTGTACACAATGCTTCGCACTGATGTCAAAATGAAATTTGCTTGAAGAATGCGATGCCGAATCCCGTTTTGCACCCCTGGATTGTAGGCAGGCAGCGGATGTGGCCAAGTAGAGAGAGTACTTGACAACGGGGCCAATGGTCCTGGTGAGAGCACCAGGAAGGTCTCAGAATTCAACACAGCACCGACTTTATCCCTCCTTGGAATTTGCCAGGTGAGGTCACCGCCAATCTCACCTCCGCTTTCCGCAAAACATTCAAAGTCTGTGATTACGCAAAAAAGATCCAGACCCACCGAGAAACACACCTTCATCGAGGTCAAGATCTATTAAGATCAAGTCGGAGACGGAAAAGTCCAAAGTGGCGCCCTGTCAATTTGTCCGATTCGAAGAGAAAAAATCGAAGATAACAAGTCCCATCTTCAGCTGAGACATTCAGTTTCCAAACAAATTGAGCGATCATGCGGCCTCCAATGTCAATGTACCAGGATACGTAGAGACACAGAGTTGTGATTCCGAGTAAATAGCAATTCGCTCATAGATGCCTCTGGCAATTGAGGGAACCTGGGCCAATTCAGGATTAGAATAGAAATCCTCAATAAGCACGCTGTGGTAATGCGCTGTTGAATCGGGTTTGTTCAACCAAAACTTGCTACGCCCTCAAAGACCTCTGGGATGAGCGGGAATCTAGAGTACCTGATAAAGAGAGACCACATGCTTTAAGCCCTGCACAGTGACATTGGTGCTCTCCTGTACCAAATTTGCCCGCAGGAGCAAATCAGAACCCCCAGCCGCATCCTGGAGCTTTACTTGGTAGACCTTGGTTGAACATGCTGTGTCTTTCAAGGGTGCGATTCTGCAAGCCTCTCAGGAAATGTTCGATTTCGAGAAGCCAAGACTTTGGAATATTCATCAGGGTGATCCCATTCGATGCTGCCCTCCAAATTGTCCAAGTTCAAATCCTCTGCAAAGTAACCTCGGCTTAACACATCATAAAGGTCGTGCCAGAGACCATGGCGTTCACTGTCATTTGAGTTGGCTTTGTCATGGCATAGTTCTGTTGGCTTCATGTTTCCAATTCCTTCCAGTCTTGGCACTGATGTTTGCCACTTTCGAGTATGCGTTGTCCAGTTCCACGATCACAGGATAGGTCTGCTCCTTGGGGCTGATGCAGTCTGAATTTACCAAACTTGCGCTGAGTAATGTTAGGCCAGGAGCCCCTAGTAGCGTCCTTGCTCCTAGTAGTAAGGCCAGGAGCCCCTAGTAGCGTCCTTGCTCCTAGGAGCCCCTAGTAGCTTCTTGTTCCTGCATGTTCAATTGATCAGAACAAATAACTAAGACTGAACTAAGACCTCTTTTGTATCGATCTGAGGCTGTGACAGCAAAAGGAGTGGCACAGTAGATCAGCATGTGGGTGTAGCCCAAAAGCTCCTGTGTCAAAGTAAAGTCAATTTACCCAGAACCCATGACAAAGAATGGTTACATAGTTGTAGTTGCATTTCACGATCACAAAATATGTGAAGCGACCGAGGGCAGAACTGTGTCACAAGGAATCTCAAGCCTGAACAATGGCAAGAATGAGAACTTGAGAAATCCCAAACTGTACTTCGCCATGCCGTATGGCTGTTAAACACAATCTGGACAAGGCGAGTTAAGTTTCCCTAAAGATCTAGGAACCAAATCATTAGTGCGAGCGTTTCTTCAAGGAAGCTTCCCCCGCTGCCTTTAGGGCGGCGGGGGGAGCTTCCTTGAAGAAGCGTGAGCTATCCCCCGTCCATGCTAGTAGCTTAAGTAAGGTAGTAGCTACCGTTCGCTTCTACTAGCTACCTCTTCTCGGCCTACCCCCCCCGGCACGCTAAAGAACAATGGCTGTCCCAAGATATGCCTGGCCTCTGAGTGTCTGAAATGGAGGCAACAGTTGTGGTGGATGTTGTTGAGCTGCTGGTTGTGCTAGTACCAGTGGTTGTGGAGGATGTCGCATTTGTCTCGTTCCAATCTGCGCGTCAGTCTACCACCAAAAGTGGCAATGAGACATAGGGTGCTACGGTGTCCAACAAAAGCAAGAAACGAAGCAATTGCAAATTGCATGATTCCATTAAAAAAAAAAGAAGAATACGAACCAAATGAATCATGTGAGGGGTTCTTCAAGAAAGCTCCCCCAGCCCTCAGGCAGGGTGGAGCTGCCTTGAAGAAGCCTGAGGTCTTCTGCGTCCCTGTTTAGTAGCTTCCTTGCTACTTAAGCGACTTCAACCTACTAGCGATGGCCTCGAACCCGGTAGCTTCCTTGCTTCTGCTTACCCCATACTACTAGCTAGCTAGTTACTTGGTCGCTTTCCCCACGGCCTACCACCGGTAAAGAATAGAAATTATAAAACAATAACAGAAAATATAGATAGGAAAGTTGTGGAAGAGTTACTCAGCTCGGTCCTTCTCCAACCTGGGTGCTGGTGGCGAATGATGTCGCCTTGGCAGCAAAAGGGAGAAGACAGGTAAACGCGTTGATCAATGCTCTCAGCTACTGTGAAGAAAACAGAAGGTAAGGCCAGGCCACCTTAAATGGTGCCTTGTTGAAAACGTAGCCTTACCTTATTGTTCCCCTGTATTCTCTGTTTTTCCACACTCTGATATGAGATACATGTCCTTTTTCCCTTTGTGTGTGTGTGTCTCGTCCTTTTCTTTGTGAGGTCCAACATCGTTGCAAACTCTCGTCAGGCCTCCTGGAGATTGTCGTAGGAGACGTTGAAAGCATATGGTGCCCGTTCGAAAATGCCATTCACCTGACCTGGCAAGCAACTAGTGGGAGTGACACGCCTACTTCTCTCAAGCAGCGGCAAAATAAAGAATTAACTTAAGATTGTTGAAAAGTTGGTAAAGCAACTATGAAACCCCTCAAGCTTCTTGCGAGCAAGTTGCGGGCCAAGTACAGAACAAAATGTGTCACCTTGTGTTGAAGCAAGCATCCAGAAGGAGCTTGCTGGCTGGGTCTTGTGCGTATCTTTGCAGCACTATGCCTACGGAGGCTCGTGGGTTGAATATTCCTTGCCCAAAAGGCCAGCCAAGAGACTACAGAAGTGTCTTCCGGAGGGTCATAAGTGAGAACTCCAGCAATGTGGTCATCATCCAGGTCATAGTCAACAAACGATACCTAAGACTTGCGGCAACGAAGTCTCAGAAGACTCGAGCTTTTCTCATGACAAAAAGGTCAATACCTTTTAGTATCGACTTGCCAAGCCGCATTGCTGACATTCACCGCACTGTCAACAAGCTCGATGGCTGTGGGAGTACTTCCCTCTGTAGAACTTGAACGAGTGAAAACTGCCAAGTATGTGGACCTGCGAGGTGAGAATTATAGAGATATGCTGGCAAGGAAATGGATTCAAGCAAGAACGTCTAGGAAAAGGACTGCAAGATGGCGGTGTTCTCTGGAATCGTGGAGGAGAGAGCCTCACAACATGGGCGTCCACTTTCCTATGGGGGTCAATTCTTAATAGTACCAAGCCAGGGCTTATGCAACGCATGTCTTTGGGTTTGACCAAGCGGGGCAGCCAATCGAGCCAATACTGGATGCCCAATGCATTGTCACCCAAGCATTCAGCATGGGTAGCCTGCTTAATCTGTGTCAATCCGCTGTTCTTTTCATATGCAAAGCGGTGGCATCCAAGACCCCGACAGTACCAGGCTCTTCCACAATATCTCGCCGGTCCACCACACCCATAGTGTCTTGAGAGAAGACAACCCTATAGGCCACCTCAACGCAAAATGCCCAATGCACTTGAAGCAAGGCTTGAAGCCTGACACAATCACTTCTCCAAAATTATTGTTCAAGGCTTAAAGCCTGTACAAAATCTGTGGTGAAAGTGGGTACATCCAAGCGGCAATGTTCTCAGTGAGAACTGGCGGCGGTGTCCAAGTCACTGCACCACCAAGTTCTTCATGGTCCAAGTCCTCAAAGTGTGCTCTTCAAGCATGTTGAGAATGATATTCTAAAGATGTAGGAACAACATGGACAACCCTGTTCTCTAGAAACGAGAAGCTACTAGGGGCTCCTGGCCGTACTACTAGGAGCAAGGACGCTACTAGGGGCTCCTGGCCTCGCTACTAGGAACAAGAAGCTACTAGTTGGGCGATCCGAAATCCGCCTTTGAGGTGTAATAAGCTACTATTAACAAGTGCATCGCTTCTAGTAACAAGTGCCTTACTAGTAGTAACAATGTTTGCCAATAGAAACAAAAGGCTACTATTAACATAATTGTCATTGGCAGTTTTCAGGGCCATTGATCCACTGCTTTGCTAGAGTCTGTCTGCGTCTGAGGCCATGGCTTGGTCGATGAACACCAGATCTGTCACACGGCCATCCTGAAAACAAAATAGGAGCAGCAAACATCGTTTGTAACTATATACTTGCGCTACAAACAAAGAGGTGCCTACCTCGTTAAACAACTCTTGTAGAAAATCCAAAGCTCTCACGTTTACATGACCTCGCTTGCACTTGCCAAGATGTCTAGCAAGCAAGAACTTGGACAGCATCACCAAAGGTATTCTTGTTGGGGTCTATTTCGTTCCCAAGGCAATTGATATGTTGAAGAACGAAACAATTAGGATCAAATCTATGTTTGCTCTAATCATAAATATCAGTGCGGTTCTTCACACTCAAAAGACTCTGACCAATTCGTACAAGTCTTGTGACGATTGACAAAGTGATTCTTGGGAGTGACAACGGATTTGACAACTTTTACATGTCACCATTCAAGCCTCGTCCGGAAGCAAGTACGAGAACGGTGTGCTTTGCTCCTGGCAGAACTCGTTCCAGGCGAAGAGCATTAAAACGTGTTTCAAACTCATCCAGTGTTGAGCAGGCAACACCTGCAGGTAAGAGGCCATGAAAAATAGAATGTGGCTGTAGGGTGCGAAGTCAGTCTCAAGCCTCCATCAGAGTCTGACAAGTTTTCGAAAACTGTTCTAATGCTACATCTCTGTGCAAACCAAGTAGCGGAATAGTCAAAGAGTCAACCCCGACAGTATTGGCTCTCGTACATCCGATGATGTCCACCTCAGAGGCACTGCAGAAAGTTGTCGATTCTGACCAGGTCTCAAACGACTCAAACCAAACGGATCATCACCAGAGGGACCCACGCGCATACAAGGATCGGCAAAGAACTCCAGCTGGTTCAACCTGGCAGTCTGTGAGGAATTATAAACACAAACATACGCCAGCGATTGCCATTGCATTGCAGCGGGCTGGCATCTTTGCTGAGATGTGAGGAGACACAGAGAGCAAAGTGCGTTAATCTTGGTGATGTTGGTGATGCTAAACCAGCCAGGCCGGCTTACCGGCATTATGGTCAACAATTCTATCTATGCCAAAAGTTCAAAGAATTGATGCTTGCGGCTCAATGCAGAATTTGCGCCAGCATAAACCCCTAATAATATTTTGGCAGGCAGGCTTGTGTGGTCCCTCGCTCTCTTAAAACCACCAACTGGATCCCAGTAGCCAAGCAAGCAATGCAATGCCAATGGGATCAGGACAGCTCGCTCCGGATGCAAACATGTTCAAGGTGGTTGGACCGCTGACGAGACAGAGCTAATTGGTTTCAGATCATCTTTTGCAAAAAAAACAGATGTGCACCAGCAACAGGTCCTTGCACTCAGAAAGCAATTAGTTTCATTTGCAAAAAGCAATTGGCTGCATTCAAATAGCAAATCAGTGGAACAATTACTTGTATTCGGAAAGCAGGCTTGTTTGTAGACATTCAGACAGTTTGGGAGGTCGACTAATGGCAAAGCAAATCTTTGCTCGGCGAAGAACACCGTCGTGCTGGCGGACAATGTTGGTTTGGATTTGATTTTGCTGACATGGTCCACTTCCAGCCATCGAGAGCAAAACATGTCAATGACCAACAAGACTGTGAGCACTCTGCATGATTGTGAGCAGCTGCAAGCGCTTGCACCATAGTCATCACCTTGTGTATATTGTGTACAGTGCTACGTCTAGGGTGGCTTTTGACGCCTGAAATCTTGGCTTTTCTTTATATTCTGTACTTTTCTGGGGGCAATCATAAAACCGTTCCTTTCTCTACAAACCTCTTTCTCGGAATCTCATTTTTTCGTGATTTTTTTATACAGCTCTTTTTGATGTTTTGTTTCACTGCCCTTAGGGCTCCAAGCCCAAGGCCTTTGGCTCAGGCTGCACATAAATAAGGAGCTGAACAATGGTGAAACTAGGTATCCAGGAAAATGCAGGCCAGAATGCAAACATACGCAGAAAATACTCAGTGTCTAAATTGTGGACGAAAACACTGCAATCAATAGAAGGGAGTTAGTTCAGGTACATCAAGCATCAACCAAGAACGTGGAAGCATGTCCATGATAGTCAGCTCAAACGCTGACTCCTGTAACCACTACATTGCAGTCCCGATTATGATTGCGCGCCCCAAATGAACCCTTCAAAAGGTCTCTCCAAGGCAACTGCCCCGAAGAACACACCTCACTCAGACCTGCTTTCTATCAGTGACTCGGAAGCAACCCGGAAAGTTTCTTTGGCATGCTTAGCTCAAGGACCTGAGCTTCGTCGCCAGGAAAGGATTGGGAATAACGATGTTGTCCACAAGCGTGTTCCTGAGACTCTCGGAAACACAACAAAGAAAAAAAGATATAAACAAAATCCCTCTCCAAGCCTAGAAACTAAACCAAAACAGCTCCCTGTTCCAATCCCTTCTCGCTCACTGCTTAAATCAAGCCCCTCCCTTGTCAATACGGTTGAAACGGCGTATGACCAACTATTGAAGGCAAGTGTCCGATCCGAGTTGGCCTTAGATTCCCAACAAACTTAGCATGCTGCATGGCCGCATGTACCAACTGTCAAATGCCGTGGCTTTCAACAATTCTTCTTCGACAGAGCAAGCCCCGGCGTTCTAGGATGACCCATTCAGACCAACTCTTTAGCCCGGAGGGTAGGTCGCTGGAAGAGGTAGCTGGTAGCTCAAGTAAGCTACTACATATGGCCGCAGGATAGCTCATGCTCGCACAAATCATTTGGTTCCTAGATATTTAAGGGAACTAAAACATCTTTTTCTACTCAGTCTTCTTCTTCTTCTTGATACTCTTCAAAGTGGAACATCTTGCATAGGGCTGTGATCCTGCCTCGTAGATGGTCGGAAGGTCAATCCAGGTGTAGCCATTCCTCATTGCAGACTGACGTGTCTTACTAAGTCGTTCTCATCTGAAAGTTAGTCGCGCCTGGTGTAGCTGAGCGAGAACTTGCTCACCTTCCCGTCAGGGGAGGTACTTCACATTTATATACACACATCTAGACACAACTGATGTAAATAGTGTCCCATAAAAGCAAGACTGAGAGAGCTAAGATGGCGGTGGCTGAATCATACCCAAGGCACCCATTGGAATACGTCTGATCGCCCAAGGGTCTGGATTCGTTCGATCCTGGGGCAACAAAGAAAACGACAGTACGGTGGCGAGGGCTTGCAGGGTTTGCAGCCCATCCTACACAAGATTTGATGCCTGTGCTTCAGCCAAGCAGCAACATGTCAGTCCCAAAGTCAAACTGGATGTAAGTGTTCCATACCACGATCTTGTTGCAAAACCTGAGCTAAGCCCCTGCATCCATCATCCCAACATGCTTCCACCCTTCGGCCTTGATACTCTCTCACACACAAGAAAGTGATAGCTGTCGTCCAGTGACTGACCACTGCCATCCAAGCGCATGTACTCCGGCTTGTTGGCCGCTGCAATTGGGAAATTCCTAAGGATCGCTTAAGTGTCGTTCCAAGCTTCTAGATACTAGAAAGCTTTATTACTAAGATGCTTCAATGACATACTAAAAAGCGTCTTGTCACTACAGGTGAAACGATTTGCAGTGAAACGATTCCCAAGGAAGCTTCTAGTTACTAGAAAGCTTAATTCCAAGAAGCTTCAAAGACATACTAAAAAGCTTCTTGTTACTACAGGTGAAACGATTCCCAGCGAAAGGATTCCTCAGGAAGCTTCTAGTTAATAGAAAGCTTTATGTATTACTAAGAAGGGGCCTTGCCAAAGAAGCCCTTATCTTTTCTTTCCTCTCTCAGACTGCTCTGTTTTGCACAAAGATTGACACGCCTCTTGGCGCTAACTTTAAGGTCTCTGCTGCGTGATGTTTGCATCAGGCAAATATGGGTCAGCATTGGTGCCAACAATTGAATGAGAGACCTGCAGACCAAGCAAAACTGCTCTCGGTGGAGGACATGGGCTCAGACTCTGGCCGATCTGGAAAAAAATGCAAGTAACAGAAACTGCAAGTTGCTTGCAAGTGTTTTCTTGCAACTGCATCTGCAACACTTCCAGTCTTGCACCACCCTCTCGTCGAGTCAGAAACAGGGTCGTACCTACAAGTACACCTTCTTTAATCTGGCATCCCAAAATCGTTTTCCGACATTTGTCAAACACAAGCCCTTTGGCCTTGCAGCTGGAAGGAATAGGTTCCTTAGTTGCTGTGGCAAACATTACCCCAAAGAACTCCTGACTTAAGAAGATTGCCAATCATTGGACGATGTAAGGCCAAGCATCTGTGGCATAGAGGTTAAGGTTCACAAAGTTGTGTGCTGACGTGGGTCGTGTCAAGTAGGTGAAGCCTATCGGAAGCTGAAGCTGAAGGCATCTAGCTTCAACCAGGACTGGTGACTCATTTGTATTCAACCTGTGCACGCTGCACACCTGTAGATGTTGTGGAACTTGATGTTGTACTTGTCTCAGTCCTGACTCAAAGGGTACAGCAAAGCGATTTCTCACTTCTCCTTCAATTGCTAATTTCAAGGACCTCGATTTCGGCTGGCAAGTTAGTTCAGCTCACCTCGTTGTGGCCGTAGAAGAGGTAGATGTTTGCGATGTACTCGTGCTCGTGCCAGTTCCAGTTGTCGTTGTTTGACATTCAGACCTGCAACGGTTTGTCAAGAATACTAATACATGGGACAATGAGTTGCATTTCACGTCACTGCGTGTCTAAGAACCACGGCCAATAGCGCTCGAGGTTAAAGAACGCTAAAACGCCACAGATGGGCAGCTCGCAGCGTGTCGATTCTGTGCCCTGTGAATGTGCCCGCCAACCAAATGCTCCGCAAGAACGTTTGTTCAGCTCAGGTTTCGACACATTTGTAGCATTGGTACAGTCAATCGTTGTATTGTCAACCTGAGCATCACGGTGAGGGATTGAAAGCAGGGTTTCACTGCAGATGCGTCATTGACTAGAACTGTGCACCTTAGCGCCTTGATCATCATCCCATTCCATGCATCCACGGTTCCACACGCGAAAGCCAAAATTGGATGAAGTGGATCCATGATTCTCCAGTCTATATATGTATAACTTATAGTCCAATAAGTTCAGACACAACCTCAAATCTTTCAACAATTGGAAACAAGATTCACGATTTAAGATCCTAAAGTCCCAAGAGTCCCAGGCTCCATTCTTTCATGTGCAAAGAGGTTTGAAGACAGCCTCTAGTCAAATCAATAAAGTTATTGGTTTGAAGCTGCCGGCAAGACCTTTTCGAAATTATACCTTTCCAGTTGTGATGCAATTGAATGCTTGCACAAAGTAACCTAAGGAACCATTCGAACCATAGACTGCCTACGGCAGAGCCTAGCTTTAGCCACCTTAGCCTCCAGCTGGAGCCTTGTGCATATCATACGTTTCCACACCACTCTTTATGTCAACTCTCTTGTCTTTCTTTTTCCCCAAATAGCGAGAGCTATTCGGGTTCCTACAAGTATCGGACGAGGTGTTTGTGTGCTCTTTGGAGGTGGGTGCTTGTGCCGTGCCGCTGCAGATTGCCTTTGCCAGATGCGTGGCTTCGGAACTTGGGTGCTGGTGCAGCTGCAGGGTGCTGCTACCAGGTGTTTGCAGTGTGCGCTTCGTGGATCCTGCATGCTCGTGTCGCTGCTATGCTGCTGCCCACAAATATTCTTCTATCTGTGGTGTGCTGACGTAATATTTATTCTAGCAATCTTTGGTTTTTGCATCTGTCTTCTTTTTCTTCTCTCAACTCTCCCAGTTGCATCGCTTGGTGTCGGACCGAAGCCAAACGTCGAGAGCCAGAGGCCTGCGAGGTGGATGAAAATGGCGATGAGTCCCAGCGACTCATAACTTGTCAACGTTTCAGATATATTCTCAGTACTTTGCCAAAAAAAACCATCTATTGTCATCATCAAGAATCAGATTGGGAGTCCTCTGCAGCAAAATAGATGTAGTAGTGTGTGAGTAGGGTCCAATTTGCAGGCCTTAGTCTACACGCAACCAAGCGTGACAAGAGGAGCCTCGCCTCTGCTTAACTCACTGCAGCAGCGATGACAAAAAGAAGGTACAATCCTTTGTCCTACTCTGCTAGAAATTTCTAGAACAGGCTAGTGTCATCATGTGCTATCCGTGAAGCCACATATGAGTGCGATCCCCGCCACACATCGGATGGGTTTGGTTCTGTCAAGCATACTTCTTTGCGAAAAAAAGACGGCTCATGACATGCAGAGAAGGTATTGCCCTCAGTATCCGTGTGTTGCTGCCGCCAGGTCCGTAGCGACAAGCACATGAATTGGCCTAATAGCGATGGCCTCCAACCTAGTAGCGATGGCCTCCAACCTAATAG